GATATAACAATCCTAGGCACATGTATGTAAGATTATGGATCTTCAAAAAATATAAAGCAACGTTGGAAAGAATTGTATGAAGAATTCACATATGGACCGCTTGGTGAGCGATTTTAACATACCTCTCACTAATTGATGCATGAGAAGAAATATTAGAAAGATGTACCATTAGTTAAATTAGATGCAATGGATATAAATAATCACTGAGCAATAATTGCAAAAGGTGCATTCTTTTTAAGCAAACAGAGAACATGAATAAAGACTAGTCATGCACTAGGCAACAGAGCAGAAAAATACCAAAATTCTGAATCATTCTGATCATAGTGGAATTGCTTTAAAACTCAAAAATATAACCACGAATCCAAAATTAAAAGCACATTTATGAATAGCTCATATGTAAAAAAGAAATAATGAAAATGAGAAGTATTTAGAACTGCACTAATGAGAATGCTACACATAACTTGTGAGATGAAGCTAATGTGAACTTAGAATAAACTTAAATGCATATATTAATAGTGAATAACAACTGAAAATGAATAAGCTTAAGTAGATGAATTTAAAAATTTATAAAAGAATAAAGTTAACCCCCTACAAAGAAAGAAAAAATAAAGATAGAAATTAAGGAATATAAAACAAAAACAATAGAATTAACAGATAACAAAAATATTCTTTGCAAGCACTCAAAAAAGTAAACCTCTGGCAAAATTGATTATGGAGAAGGGTATGAATGACTAATAATACATTAGAAAATGAGCAAAATGATCAGGAAACCCCAAGTGGCTAATAAAAATACAAGGAAATGCTCAGTCCTATTGGTAATGGGAATTGTAAACCCAAGTAACAGCAAGGTACCATTTCCCACCTGTCAAAACTGGTTAAAAATAAAGGCTCCAAATACTGAGTTTGGCAAAGATGTGTAACATCAGGAGCTCTCGTGGACCACTGGTATATGTATAAACGGGAAAGTAGTTAGGCAATATCCAGTAAAGATGGAGATACGCACGCCCTACAACCTGGCAATTCCACTCCTTGATGTCGCCCTTGAGTAGCTATCACACGTGGGCAAGAATATGTGCGCAAGAATGGCCACTGTGGCACTATTTGTAAGGGCAACAAGTGGAACAAACGGAAAGCCATCATTAGGACATTGGGTAAAGTGTGACCACTCAAGTAACAGAAAATGTATCAAGATGGTTAAACACTACGTTGAACTTCTGGGGGGGAAAAACGTTGCAGAACATTGTGTATGATTCATTCATATAAGGTTTTAAAATGTGTAAGAAATACTTGATTTTATTAATTTACTTATGTGATATTGTGATTTATAATAAGAAATGTCTATTTGGTTTTCATTTCCATTCTGGCACAGAGCTTCTAAAACCTTGGAATTTCCTAAGTACAGTCATGCGCTGCATAACGACATTTTAGTCAACGACAGACCACATATATGATAGTGGTACCATAAGATTAGTGCCACATAGTCTAGGTGTGTGGTAGGCTATACCATCTAGGTTTGTGTAAGTAGGCTCTACGATGTTTGCACAAGGAGGCAATGGCCTAAGGACACACTTCTCAGAAGTATCCCCATAGTTAAGCAATGCATGACTGAGGAGAGTGATAAAGATGTCTTTTGTTATCTTAATGGGGTGACTCTTGAACCCCACCTAAGGATGGGGGCTGGTTGCCAGGAGGACCAACCCTGTGATTAGAGGTTTGGAACTTTCAGTCCGACCCTCCCTGACCTTGTGGGAGGGGAGAGGGGCTGGAGGTTGAATAAATTGCCCATGGCCAATGATTTAATCAATCATACCTATGTAATGAAGCCTCCATAAAAACCCAAAAGGAGGGGTTTGCAGAGCTTCCAAGTTGGTAAACACATGGAGATTTGGGTGAGTGGCGTGATGGGAAAGACCACGGAAGCTCCTCGCCCTTTTCCCATACTTTACCCTGTGTATCTCTTCCATCTGGCTGTTCTTGAGTTATATCCTTTTATAATAAACTAGTGATCTAGTGAGTAAATGAGTTTCTTGAGTTCTGTGAGCCACTCTAGCAATTAACCAAACCCAAGGAGAGAGGTCCCAGGAACCTCTGATCCATAGCCAATCTGTCAGAAGAACAGGTAATAACTTAGACTTGCGACTGGCCTCTGAAGTACAAGGAGGGGATGGTGGGATCCTCCAATCTGTAGCCAGTTGGTCAGAAACACAAGTAACAACCTGGACTTGCAAAAAGTGGGTGGGGGGCAGTCTTAGAGGACTGAACCCTTAACCCGTAGAACCTAATGCTATCTCTTGGTAGCTAGTGTCAGAATTTAATTAAATTGTGGGACACCCAGCTGGCGTCTGGAGCATTGCTTGTTGGAGTGGAAATACCCCTCATACACACACACACACACGTTAGAATTGGGTCCAGGAACCTGAAAGAACTTATGTGTAATAAAAGTTTTAAAACGTGCGTGGAAATAATAAACATAAAATTCAGCGTGGTGATTACCTCTGGGAGAGAGAAAAGGAAATGGGTCTGAGTGGTATACATTATAGGTATTGATTATATCTGTCCAAAAAAACTTAAAGCATATGTATACACAAACACACACACAAGAAATTATGATTCATCAAAGCTGGATGGTAGGTATATATACATGCTAGTATATATTGTACTTTTGTTAATGTTTGAAGTATTTCAGAATATTTTTAAGATAAACTATGTTAAATTACTTAATAGTGAGACTTTCGGCTAAGTTATTGTCCTTAAGAGAATGAGCTTCTTTTTAGAATAAATAATACAAGTGTAATGTTATTGTTTACCACTCACCCCGCCCCCCCAAAAAAATCCCCACAATCGTACCTTTTTACGCAAGGAAACTGAAGCCTTGTCTAATGACAAACCCCTATGGGAGCCACTGAGTTTCATCTGTAAGCCTTAGGCATAGGCAGGTGAAAAAGTAAATTCATTGACAGCCTGTAAGATGAGAAAAGGAAAACAAGAGCAGCAAGAATCACAGGTGTCTCAAGTTATTGGCCTCACTGTTCACAAACAAGGCTTTATGTTTTTTTTCCAAAACAGAAGTAGTTGTTCAGTCATGCATCACTTAATGATAGAGAGACATTCTGAGAAATGCATCATTAGGCAATTTCGTCATTGTGCAAACATCATAGAGTGTACTTCACAAACCTAGATGGTATACCTACTACATACCTAGGCTGTATGGTTCTAATCTTACGGGACCACGGTTGTATATGTGGTCCGTCGTTGACTAAAACGTTGTTATGTGGCGCACTACTGTACTTTTTTTCTCATTAAAAAGTAATTCATATTCTTTGGAAAAAACCTCAAACACATAGGGGCCGGCCCGGTGGCATAGTGGTTAAGTTCGCACGTTTTGCCTCAGCGGCCTGGGTTTGGTGCAGACCTACGCGTCGCTTATCAAGCCATGCTGTGGCAGGTGTCCCACATATAAAGTAGAGGAGGATGGGCATGGATGTTAGCCCACAGCCAGTCTTCCTCAGCAAAAAGAGGAGGATTGACAACAGATGTTAGCTCAAGGATAATCTTCCTCACACACACACACACAAAAACTCAAACACTGAAAAATTAATTTAAAATAACCTATAATTGTACCACCCAATAATAGTCATTATAAACATTTTAGTATATCTTTCTATTCATATAGAATGTATGGATATGTATGTGTTTACGGATATGTATATATAGTGTTGTGTATGTGTATGTATGGTCTTTACCCAAAAAAGCACACTCTACATTTTTGGTTTTAACCTGCTCTTTATGTTATAATATGTCCTAGAAATAGTTCCATGCCCAGAAAAAAAAATTTGTCATTTCTCTTTTATTGGGTATGTAGCATTATACTGTGTGGTCATGCCATTAATGTATTTAACCAAACCACCGTTAGTTTTTCCATTCTTTTCTTATATACATTGCTGCAGTGAATACACTACACAAGCATCTTTGAATACTTGTCCATTTGTTTCCTTGGGATAAGCTCTTAGAAGGAGATTTACAGGAGCAAAGGGAATACATAACAAATAGTGAGGCTTTTGGTATCAGTCAGAGTTCTCCGGAGAGGCCAGCAGGCTGGAAACTCAGGAGTTGGTGCTGCAGTCTTGAAGCAGAATTTCCTCTTCTCCAGTTAACTTCAGTGTTTGATCTTATCTATCACCCCGTATGGATATTATTTCTTTGCTGAGTATGTATTTTGCATACATCTTCTCTGAGTCTGTGGCTTTGCCTTTTTACTTTCTTCGTGGTGTCCTTTAATGAGGAGAATTTCTTAATATTAATGTAGTCCATGTAATCATTTTTTTCTTTAGTAATTAGCTCCTTTTTGAGTTCTCTTTAAGTAATTTTTGTCTATTGAAAGACATTATGTTTCCTTAGTTTCATTTCATGTTTAAATGTGGAAAAGGGAAATAATTCACGTTAACCAAACTGTTTTCTATGGTATCCTGTGTTGTAGGATATTTTACAGTTTAGATATTTATTAATCCACCAAACATTCTTTTCTCCTGCTGGGAACAGCACCTCCTCCTCTGTTTTGGGGGAACTTCTAAGGGCCTGCCTATTGTAGCATTCAACATTCTTTACCGCAGATGTGAGCTCTTGACCCAAACTGGGCCAATAATGGTACTTTTGCCCCTTGGCCACAGTGATTGGTCCAAATATGGCCTTATGACCTAAGCTGGAACAGTCAGGAAGGTGACTGCAGAGCTGTTGGCAGCTGTGGTTCTAGCCCAGTGAGACTTCAGCACAAGAAAATAAGTTTGAGAATCATTGGGTTAAATAAACAGGCTTCTTTTACTGCAGGCCTAACTGTAAGCTGACAAATGAAAAGTGCTTTAATCTCTGAGCTAGGTTTTGAAAGATGCTAGCATTTAATAATTTATATGCAAATCATGTTATTTTTTTAATTTGGGCAAAGCGTCTTCTGATAAATTAAAAGAAATTTAATGCAACCAATCTGCAAACTTTTTCTTATGCAGGTTAGCCAGTACACTTTTGCCATGTGCAGTTATAGAGAAAAAAAGTCTGAACCACAAGAGTTAATGCAACTTGAAGGATACACTGTGGATTATACAGATCCCCACCCAGGTAATTCTAAGTTGAATCACTTTCCCTACCATTCATGTATTCAGGAAATTCTCATAAATATCCTATTGTACATTTCAAACTCTACTCAATGAATACGCTACATATTTCACTTATCTACCTGGACAAGACTGTTCGAGATGAAAGTTATATCTTTTTGAGGGCTTCTTAGTTTTGGCCATAACTCATCATCTCTGTTACCTTAGTATAAAGATGAAATATGTGAAAATTACTGTAGTAGAAAAATTATATGAGAAATATCAGCAATGTTTACATAAACTTCTTTACTAGAAAGCAAAGAGGTACAAGAAACAGATATTGGGAAAGAAATGGCAAATGAATTATATATGCTACCAATTTTCTCCCCAACAACACATTCTTGTACTTCTCTCCCTCCCTCCATATTAATACTAGGTATACTACTAGACACTTGGTATCTAAAATTGGTGAAAAAGTGAAAGAATGAATATATGGAGATTAATGAAATTAATAAAGCCTAATTAAGAAATATATAGATATCAATAAACGTAGAGATTAAGAAATTAACATATGGAGATTAAAAATAGGAATCTGTGATCAAATTCACTAATCGGTCACTTAAAAATGTAAATACCTTCTCTGCAAAAGAATTTTGCAAAAGATAAAATACCATACAGTATAAGTATCATTTTTGCCTTACCTGTATTTTTTTTTTTTTTCTGCTAAACTCATCATATATTTCTCCTGCCTATAGAATGAGAAATGTGCCAACAGATAAAACTTTCTTCTCTGGCATGAAATATCAGATTATGCTATGCATTTCTCTGGGGTAGGTTTGTATGTCTTGCAGAATGTTACTGTGTCATGGACTATTCATTTCCTTAAGCTGCTTTTAATTTCCAAAGCAATATGGAAGTTTAAACCTTTCTCTTATGATTCCTTCAGTTCTTGGATTGTGGATTTGATCCTCAACTAAAAATCATTTAAAACATTGAGCTGTTAATATCAAATCGATTCTTTTCCAGGAGACCATTTAGTGAATGAGATTAAAATGTGCCAGTTGTGTAAGTTTTTAACAATGTCTTTCTTCCTCCACAGGCCTTCAGGGTGGTCAGATGTTCTTTAATGCTGTTAAAGAAGGAGATACTGTAATATTTGCCAGTGATGATGAACAGGATAGAATATTATGGGTTCAAGCCATGTATAGGGCCACAGGTCAATCATATAAACCCATTCCTGCAATTCAAACCCAGAAGCTGAATCCTAAAGGAGGAACTCTCCATGCAGATGCTCAGCTTTGTAAGTTTTGTTAAAAAAATAATTTGATTATCAATTAATAACCTTAATAAGATATAAAATTATCTGAGGCAAATTTGTTCAGTATTATAGTTTACATCATTAACGGATTCCTAATTGAATAAAAATAGTTCATATTAGTAATCACAGAATTAGTTATCTAATTTTTCCCACATATCTGGAGCCTGTGGTTTCCAGTCATGAGTTTGCCAACCATTGCGTGTCTCTGGGAATCTCAAGAGCATATAAGAAAATTCTCTAAAACTTCCCAAAAGAAAATTTATTGTAACTTACTGTGATTTTAACTTATGTGTGCTATAGAAATGGAAAAGTAATGCAAAAACAAATTGGCATTGAAAGGATTTCAGAATACCAAAATGATCAACCATCACTTTCTTGAGTTGTTCTTAATAATCCAGAAGGATAATAGGGCTATTTTCTGTTGTAGACTGATAAAAGAAGAGTAAGTCATCAAGCCAACTCTCTTTTTCTAAATACCTTAATGTTCATGTCATTTTCCATATGCTAATTTAAATCATTAAGAATTATATTTTTCGTTTTAAGTGATTAATAACAAATTATGTAATAATGATAGAAACATTTTCAAACATAGCTTTAATAATCTTTCAAGCAAATGTTCTAACTTGTTACATATTCCTTTGCAAAACTTCTCTAATTTCTCCTATAATAGATCAGTTTGTCTATAACTTTAAGCTCAAATTGTGGCTTTTCAATAAACACCTTTTTACTCTCAAAATTCTTCTCCAGGAGAGTAACATCTTGACATGCATTATTCTCTTCTCCTGCTTTTCATGCATCAAATAACTACTCTCTCTTCCTTTTAAGCACCCTTGAGTATCACATCTGGTCATCTTAAACAAAGGCACTTTAGGCCAAATAATTAAAGATGGAATATGAGCTCAACTCCAGTCACCTTTGTGCTTTAGGGTTTAAAGTGTACACCTTTAAATTTATCACACTCCATCTTCATGTGATGTTATATCACTTCATGAGTAGTGTATGAACCTTACAACAATAGACTTCCATTCCTCCCCTCCTGGACTCGATACTGTTCTTGCAATACATTTTACTTCTACATACGTTGTAAATCCTATAATACATCCCTATTATTATTACCTTAAACAGTCAATTACCTGTTAAATAAATTTAAACAGTATGAGAAAATGTTATACTTACCCAGTAGTTACCATTTCCAGCGCTCTTCATTCTCTTGTACATACATTTTACTTCTTCTTGAAGGACTTCCTTTGACTTTTCTTGTAGTGCAGATCTGATGGTGATGAATTCTTTCAGCTATTTTATATATGAAAAAGTCTTTATTTTACCTTCGTTTTAAAAGATATTTTTCTTTCAGTACTTTAAAGATTTTGCTCCACTCTGCTAAGTTGCATTTTTTTTCCTTGATGAGAAATGTGCTATCATTTTTGTTTGTTCCTCTGTACATAACATGTCTTTTTCCCCCTAGCTGCTTTAAAGATTTTCTCTTTAATGCCAGTTTTGAGCAGTTTGGTTATGATGTGCCTTGGTGTAGTTTTCTTCCTGAAGATGTTCTTGAGCTTTATTCTAAGACACAGTTAAGTTACTTGGAAAGAATTCAATCCTTTCAGGTTTTGCTCTCAAGTTTTGTTCAGTGGGACCAAACAGTGCCTAGTTCAGGATTAATTTTCCCAACTTCTGGACCAAAGATTCTTCTTAAGGACTCTAACAGATGACCTGTGAATTTTGAGGTTCTATATTCTGGTTGTTGGAGACAAGTATTCCTCCAGGCTCTGTGTAAGTTTTGGGCACTGTCCCCTCTAATCTTTTAGGGTGATTCTTTCCCCGTTCTCAGGTGGTTGCCTCACATGCATGAGGTGGTCAGTATGCAGCTGAATCCAGAAGGCGGTGGGGGGAGGGAACAGTACTCTTTCCTGCAAGCTCTAGCCATCCTGGCCTTCCTGAACTGTCAGTTCCATCTTCTCAACACAGACCACTAGCTCTTTCTGGGTTCTTGTTCCCTGTGCCACAGCTTTGCAAGTTTCTCCTGACATTAACCTAGGGCAACTGTAGGCTCACCTATTTGTTTCTTGGTCTCTCAGGAATCGTTCTCCTATGTTCCCTGAGGCCCAGAGTTTTACAACTATTTTTTGTATATATTTTTTTCTGAATTTTCAGTTGTTTCAGGTAGGAAGGTAAATCTGTTTTCATTTATGGCATCCTGACCAGAAGCAGAATGATTTTTTTTGTAAGTTAGAGCAAGATTTCTCAACCTTGGCACTATTAACATTTTGGGCCAGATAATTCTTTGTTTCAGGGGTTGGAGGGAGGGCTATCCTATATATTACAGGATGTTTAGCATCATCCTTGGCTTCTACCCACTAGATGCCAGTAGCAACTCCCCCCCCACCATGTCTGACAACCAAAAATATCTCCAGACTTTGCCAAATGTTCCAGGGGGCGGGGTTGTAGATGGGAAAGAATTATCCCTATTTTAAAATCACTGAATTACAGTGACTTGAAAATTATTTTTGTGAGAATGTCTTCCTTATTCACTTATGTTCCAGTGTTTTTTCTTAACATCCTAGGTACAGGGAATACCCAAGGAATGCGCTAAGCTCATGGTTATCACCCATCTTGCACAGAATGGCAAGAAAAGTGGTCAGGAACCACTGGCCTAGAACATTAGGCGGTGACTACATGTACAGAATTAATGAATAAAGGATCTAATAATCACTTGATTCAGGTAGCGATGTAATCTCTTTCTAACAAAGCCTTTCTACTGTTAGATATCAACGCATTGTCAAGGCAGTGTTGATTCAGGCTAAGTGGAACTGAATTTTCTAGCCCCTTGATTAACTTATTCTAAAAAAGCTAAACTTGTTCTCAAATGCCAAACTGTTTCAGTTAACAACAGCTTTCTTAATTCCAGGCTTTTACTGAAGTTTTCTATCAGAGCAGATCCTGCTGTTTTATCTTTCTTTGGGGAAAAAAAAAAAAAGGAAGGAAGGAAGAAAAATGTGTTTCTACCATATTCATGTGAGAATACTGACCATGACTTCTGTCAGAGATGCCACTGGACTTCTCCAGAGAGTAGATTTGCCCTTAGTATTTTCCTCTCTTCCTTGACTTCCATAGCATTCCTTTTTCTTCTTTCTTGATCATCTCTTGGAAGAACTGCTTTTAGAGTCATTAGTAGAAACTAAGAAAATAACATCATTAAATGACTACTTATAGAAATAAATGTGTTCCTAACCCATTTAAATATGCTTTGTTTTTCATTTCTTTGCTGACCTATAGCTAGTAAGGGTAAGTATTTCCATGATTTTGGTGTTTTTTTGCTTCGTTGTATTAAAATGTTGGTAATGTTATGATTTTTGAAAGAATATCATGATCTTATTCACAATGTCAGTCTCCTACTTTCTAGGCAAACTCAGAATATTTAGGTTAACTTTACCATTTATGAAACAAAAATGTCTATTTTGCACAATAGAAAAGTAGAAACAACCTAATTTCAACCATTCATGTGGGCATAAGGTAATGGCTATGAGGGTGTTACAATAGCATGCAGAAAAAATGCTCAATGTTAAGTGTAGAAAATGCTAAGTTATATATGTGGTATTGTTTTTACTATGTTAAAAAAAAAAAAAAAAACAGTTTAAAAAATATAGAGAAGCCAGCCCGGTGGCATAGCAGTTAAGTTGGTGTGCTCCACTTCAGCGGCCCAGGTTCGCAGCTTCGGATCCCGGGTGCAGACCTACGCACCGCTTATCAAGCCATGCTGTGGTGGCATCCCCTATAAAGTAGAGGAAGATGGGTGTGGATGTTAGCCCAGGGCCAATCTTCTTCAGCAAAAAGAGGAGGATTGGCAACGGATGTTAGCTCAGGGCTAATCTTCCTCAGCAAAACGAGGAGGATTGGTGACAGATGTTAGCTCAGGGCTAATCTTCCTCAAAAAAAAAAATATAGATAGATAGAAAGGTAGAATTACACCTAAAATATTCACAGTGGATGAGTTTAATTGGCAAGACTAGTTGCTACTTCATTTCCTCTATTTCCTGAATTTTCTTTGAAGTATCTATTTTATAACTTAAAGAAAGCTTGTTTTTAAAACTAAGCATACTGAACGTTTAGTGATATTCAGAACAAAATAATAAATTTATGAAATCTAACTTATTAGAAATCAACCTTATTATCTTTTTTAGGATATAAATAATGTGTTTATAGATTTCTCTGATAAGTGATCTCTTCCCTATTTCTTTGACTCTCAGAATATATAGAAAGTCTAGCTGCAAACAGTATGCTGCCTTTTGCCTGACTGACAGGCATTCTTTGGTTAAATTATCCTTCTTTGCTGTCTCCAAAATACTGTGCAAGCACCTTGTTTTTCACTTTTCTGTCTCTTATGTGTATAACATAATACAATGTGTATGTTACATAATACAGCACAGTAGTAGTTGACTTCGATAATAAATGAACGTCAAAAATGAACCAGAAAAGTTACCTTCCTTGTGGTTTTAAGCCAAATTTTTTTAAATTCTTAAATTGGAGTATAAGCTTATTTTATAAGCTGCTTTTCCTGATTGATGTAGTAAGTTAAATTTCACACTTCATAGGTAAAGAAATAAATGTTGAATATTGGTTTATTTTGCCTATGATTCTAGGTCTGTATGTGTTGATTAAAATTGTCCTCATGTGAAAATATTACTTGTCTGTTATTTGCTGCAGAAAGCAAGATGTGTAAATCCATACGTCAGTTTTTAACGAATTTAACAAAAACAAGCTAAGAAATTGAGTCAATAATAGAGGTGTGAACAAACTTATAATTAATATATCTATCAACTATTTCTCTTTGGTCTTCACGTAAAACACGAACATACCAACCAGGATAATCTACATAAAAATTTTAACATTAAACTCTTCCTATTAACGGCGTATGGCTGCTATAAAAAGAGAAGTGGTGTGTACTGCTCTGTGCCACTTTTAACTTCCTGTAAATTTTCAAGCTCAATGAGAGTCTGAGCTAAAAGTAAAGTATAGTCAGGTATGGGTAGCAGTAAATGCAGCTACAGGCAAACTCCTAAACATAGGACAATTTTAAACCAATTTATTAAATTTTATAAGGTTAATTTGTTGCTTAGTTCCGCTCAGGGTTTTGCAGAGGAAGTGAAGAGCTCTTAGCTAACAGCACCCTCTTTTTAGTACTTTTTGTACTCGAGTCCCAGGCCTGGACACCTGAGCACCTGATTGGTCTCAGAATGCTAATGAATGGCCTTCTCTTCTCCTTCATTGACCCCTTGCTCTTTCCCCCAACTCTTTTTCCTCTCCTTTGCCTTTTATATCCCTAATCTCTCACAAAAGCAGGAGCAGCAAAACATGCAATATCTTTCAAATTAAGGAAGGAGAAACATTTCAGGTAAATACTTTCCCCATCTCGTGTTCTGAACTCTGCCTTAGGTGCCTTTTCTGGGATTTGGGTTCTTGAGCCGTTGGGGGCTGGCTGTGGTCAGTGCCCACCACATGGCCTCCTCAGCCCTGTGGGGCCTACCAGCTTGCTCATAGTCTTCCCATTGTTTTCTATGCTAGCTATTTTCAAGTCAGTGTTAACTGTTTAAATTGATACTGTCAGCCTACTTACTCTTTTCTCTTGATTCCAACAGCTATTATTCTAGTGAAAAATTTAAATTTTCAGGTTCTATTTGAATAAAGCCTTTATAATTCCTTAAATGTATAGCAAATAGTAATCTTTCTCAATTTGGGTTTATTCCTTCTACTTTTACCATGACCTGGTGACAGTAACACCTGAAGACGCTGAAACGTATATCGAACTGTTACCATAGAAACTCTCCCCCAGTATCCTCAATTACCATGTCCCACATCTGTAGTTAGTCCATAGGTTAATCATCACAATTTATGACAGTTTTACAGTGCATTGTTAAAGCTCATATCTTTTGGGCTTTTTTTTTTTTTATAATTTTCTTATTGTTTTGGAAGACAAACTGAGCTGAAATTTGTCATTATAGTGAACATTTGATTAGTGTCATGAATCATTTTAAGAACTAGTCACCATAATTTTGTGTTACAATAAACATTAATTGAAGATAATCCAGTATAACTCAGTTTTAAAGCAAGTCTCCAAGCCTGGGATTTCCTTATGTTATTGATTGAAAGCACATTTTCCATTTGATCCAAATGATATCTCTGTGTTTCCTAAGAGCTAACTGTAGGTATGTTATGCCCAGAGAAAATTATATAAAAATAGTCTTTTATGAAAATAAGAAACTAGATAGTATTTTTGTGTGTGTGTAAGAGGAAGATTAGCCCTGAGCTAACATCTGATGCCAATCTTCCTCTTTGTGCTGAGGAAGACTGGCCCTGGGCTAACATCTGTGCCCATCCTCTTCCACTTTATATGGGAAGCCGCCACAGCATGGCTTGACAAGCAGTGCGTTGGTGCACGCCTGGGATCCGAACCTGCGAACCGCGGGCTGCCGCAGCAGAGCGCGTACACTTAACTGCTACGCCACCGGGCCGGCCCCAAGAAACTAGATAATGTTTTAATGATAGTTGATTTCCTATTTTACTTTAGTTCATAAGAGAATTTTAAAGTCAAAATTTCTCCCACAGTGAGATCAAAACTGTTGCTTTTTCAATTTATTTTTGTTTCCTCATAAATTCGTGGAAACTAATGGCATAACGGTACATAGTGAAATGTAGTTGCATAAAATATTTTGAATTGTGGTTGTGACACATAGGAAGGACAGAGTAGAGATGCTTGGTCTTAACAGCTTGTGTTTTGAAGATGGGATAATCCCTAAGAGTACATTTCACTTTCATAGAATTATAGCCCCAGAGAGATTGTAGGTTTTTTTTTTTTTTTTTAATAAAATCTTTAGTGACTTAAATTGCTATCATGATATTACAGTATTTTTATCACTAATGGTAATTGTTGGAGAAGTAATTTTCCATTTATGTGTGTGATTCAGAAAGTCTTGTCACATTACTAAATATCTGGTTTAGAGTTATATTTCATGAGGTATATACTTCATAAAGTAAATTCATTTTTGAAAATGATTTAATTGTAGAAGTGAACCATAGACTCATTTTTTTCAGGAACTTGTATATTTTATTTAGAGACTGTGAACCCGTTGTTTTAAAATAAAAATTGACTTCTACAGACCTTTATAGTAAAAGGAGAATTATAGATTTTTTTTCTCTGAAATTTGTTACATATCTTGTTCTCAACAGACAAGCCATTAATGGGCATTATTTTTAACTCCTTGTTATGACCTTCTCTGGTGAAAGAAATAATGAATAAAATTCAGCAGGTCTTATAAAACTAGTAATTTAATTTCATAAAGGTGACACTAAAACATTTTTTTTACTCAGGTAAAAGGAGAAATGAAGAGTCTAAGATAAATTCTTTAAGACAAAATAATCTTCCAATTTTATCATATATGTGCCTTGCATTTTTCAATAGTCTGCCGCCTCATTTGATATTATTTCACATTATCGTATATTTAACTTTATATTAAAAGACTGTCAGACATAAGAATAAAATACAAGAAAAGTTGGATTGTCTCATTTCTCAGTTCAGGAAAAGCAGTTTAGTTTAGTGTTCATCCAATTAATGCTAATTTACCACATGTAATGGATTTAATTATTCAGGTAAGTAATTATTAAATGTAGAAGACTACATATGCTACTTTCTCCCTGGATCATAACCTCATACCTTACATCGTCAATGAATGGCCATTTGTTGCTTACTTGCTATGTTCACCATTTGATATCCGTCATTGATGTGAGATATAAATGTTTGTCTACCTTTTTTTATAATCTGATTCTGAAGACCCTTCAGCTTGAATTATACAGTTCTTCCATCCACAAATATGGCTGAAAGTTGAACTTGACATGGATCAATATGATCTGGGCTAAATATCTAAATGTGACTGATTATGTTAGCATCATGTCCACAGATCAATATTGAGTTTTTTTATGAGCCTGACTCTATAATTGGGTTTAATCAATAAACTTTTGTCTCCTTTCCTTTGCAGTTTTAGGATTGTACCATATAGGTTTTAAAAACTACATTTAGCTTACATTTAGGACTCTGCTTCTTGTGATGACCAGAAATGAGATCTATCTGTGAATTTTAAGGAACAATGGAGCCTCAGCCCTACCATTGTGAGGAGAGTCCACTTTTGTCTTGATAACAGATTTCTTGACCAATACGCGCTACATTTCTAACAGAGCTAATGTAGTAACACCCCAGCACTCCTTTTGGGTAGCATGAGGCTTTTTCTCTCTACTGTTAGTAAATAACTCACATTGAAGACTTTGACAAAACATACCATTAATGAAAGCAATCATAAAAGCTTGCCTTTTGATAAACCCGCAGGGTCTATAGGCGTTGAAAGACGCGATCTGTAAAGAACAATAAATTTGGGCCTTTGATTGAAGTGCCGTTTGTGACGTTATGCTTTGTCTGCATATTTGCACAAACGTGATGCTCCCTTTTTCATGTCTTAAACTTGAAGCTTGAGAGCATTCATTGCCCTTTCTACATTAAGGTTGGTCCCATTAAAAGCTCCACACAAGAAAAAGACTGGAAGTGATCCAGCTGAAGCTTGTGTGTTCATTTCTGCCCCAGTTTGCCATTTGGAAAGCAGGCCTCTAGCCATCATTGTGTTTTTTTATGAACAGACCTGGGTTCTTTTCCAGTCAGTTCCTTCAGTAATATATACTTAAAATGCATCACCTTTTCTTAAAATTGGAAAAAATTATTTGTGTGATGGATATTTGAAAGTAGCTTTGAATGAAAATAAAATTTACTCATTCCAAATGGGTGGCAGATTTTTCCATCATTTGTATTTAGGGTCCAAAAAAATTGAAATTTATGTTCATGTGCTGAATTCTTGGCATCATATTTTATGTAGTAGAAGTCTTCTGTTATCATGAGGCATGCATTTTGTGTTCTTTAAAAACTGCAGTTGCCCATTATTAAACCAGTAAAATAAGTGGATTATACATGCTTTTCTGAATTTACAGATGCAGACCGTTTTCAGAAACATGGTATGGATGAGTTTATTTCTGCAAATCCTTGCAAGCTTGACCACGCCTTCCTTTTTAGAATACTCCAGAGGCAGACTTTGGATCACAGACTGAATGATTCCTATTCTTGCTTGGTGAGTACAAGTCTGTCTATCTAGTCCCTATAGGTTAGAATGAAGGATTTTTTAAAGTGAGAAATACTTGTTATGAAGCAGCATTTTATTCCTGACTCTTAATAATTGTAGTTGGAGTTAGGGATAAAGGATTCCAATCGATTGCTTCCCAATTTGAAAATTATACACTTGAAGACCACTGCTGTGCCACTCAATTGACAGGAGAATAGACTCAAACAGACACTGAACAGTGGCGTAGCCGTCCCTCTGGAGAAGCTGAATGAAAATAGAAGGCTTTAATGAAGATAAACTCTGTGGTAGGATTTACCAACACCTGTACAGACATTTTAAGGGTTAGATTCTGCTCACCAAATGTTGATATCTTTCATTTCTCTCTTTTGTTCCTGGAAAGACAACCTCAGTGACGGGGGAAAGAAACAGTGGGATAAACAATATGACAGAGGAAAAGTTTAGTTTCATCTAACCCTCCAGAGATAATTTGAATTTCTTAAAAAAAAGAAAAAGGAATTAAATTGAGTAGCTAACCTGCTACTTTGTATGTGTTGAAACTAGCCAGAATTTGGGATACAAAGTATAATTTACTTTTGGAAAGAATGCTTGACTTCTTAGAATGTGGGTGTTAAACTATAGCCTAGGGATCATATGTGCCTTTCCAAGGACTTATATTGTCACTGGCAATTCCTCTGGAATTTTTCCAGCCTGAATATACCTATTTCCGTCACCACTTAGTCTCTTGGCACTGAACATGGTAGCTGCATGCAATAAAGTTACATTCTCTTTAAAATAATATTTCAGACAGGGTGTGCTCCCAGCTCATCAGCGATGTTGCAACAGGAAGAAATGAAACAGCTTACTGCCATGATCACACTGATGCTTCATTAATCCATTTGTAGACTCTTTATTAAGTATTTGTTATTCAACATGTAATTGTATAGTTTAAACCTGATCCAGCCCAAACTTTCCAGTTACGTGGAGAGTAAAACAAATCATCAGAAAACCCTGATATCTTTCCAGGGACAAGCGCATATAGAGTGAACATCAATAAGGGACGCTTTCCCCTTGGATTCCACTCAGTGGGGCTAGTACCTGAATTGCCAAAAGTTATTTTGATTATGTGGATGACCCCACGTGTGGTACGGAGTCTGAAGAGAACACTGCAGTGTGTCCTCAACTGCACCTACAGGGTAGTGAGCATGGTGTGATCAGAAAGAGAGTTTGCAGGCAGGATGAGCCTGGATGTAAATCATGGCTCAACAACTGATTTGCAATGTGTCTTGAGCAATTCACTAAACATCTCTGAGCTTTAGCTTATATATCTGTCACATAGAGATCATAATGACTACCATGCATGTTGGTTCTAAATATTAAAGCTATGTTATATGTAGTATGTCTGGTACACTGCCTGTCCCATCTCCACAGTAAGTATTCTGGTGTTCTTTGTTCTCCTTTTCCTCCTCCTCTTTATTGCAGTTCATCTTTCTACATTTATCACCATTTTTTCCCTTCTCTTAACGTGATTATCATGCCCTCTTTTAAAACTCTCCGTTCCCCCTTCTTTCTCTTATTTTTATCTTAAGTTAATCCATATAAATCCATATAATCCATGGAAACATTTTCTAAATCAGCTCTACCTAACCGTGTCCTCATGTTAGCCAAGCAGGCTGCCTGCTGTTTCAGTTCACAGCCCCACACACACACCCCCCCCCACACACACACACACCCCCACAGACACACTCCCCCCCAACATCTCATTTCAAGAAAAACAGAAACTACTACTATAAAACACTAACTTTGTTATATTGGTCCTAGAAAGACAAACAGAACACTATCTCAAATACTTAAATACCCACATAGTACATGTTGATCACTGCTAGACTTACTGAAATTTTCTTTTAATTCACTTTATAAAATGCTTTTGGTAACTAGGAAATTTCAATTATAGTGTCTGCTGTACCATTCTCTTTTTAATTGATTCATATAGAGATTGAAAATTTTTGGAATGCCATTCTTTGTGACTGACCATTTAAATACTGTGAACAAATTTGACTGATTTTGAATGACAGTGGAGAAGAAGAGGTTGCCCCTGCCTTGCTGTGGCAAGAAAGACAGAAGAGTATGAGGTTGCCTGTGTCCCAGATTAGTTCCAAAATCAGTGACATCAGGTCTTCTGAAAATAATATGAAACATACCACTAATAAAAATCTGTCAAAAGACACTTGAATGCAGCTTCTGCTTATAATGCCTAACAGTGCCTACAGAAAGGCAGATCTTAGTACAGAAAAAAAAAATCTTTTTTTTTTTTTTTCTTTTGCAGGGTTGGTTTAGCCCTGGCCAAGTTTTTGTGTTAGACGAGTACTGTGCCCGTTATGGTGTGAGAGGCTGTCACAGGCATCTCTGCTACCTTACAGAACTGATGGAACATTCAGAAAATGGTGCTGTTATTGACCCAACCCTGCTCCATTACAGCTTTGCATTCTGCGCCTCTCATGTGCACGGCAACAGGTATTTTTACTTGCAAACACACAGTGAAATGTGTAGGGTTGACTTGAGAAGAGAGAAAAAGGCGCTTCGCCGTTATCACCTAGTAACGGATTTTAAACAGCAAACACTTCTTGCAAGAGAGAAGAAAACTCATGAAGAAAAAATGTACATCAATCTGGTGGGCTGCACTTTGTTTGTTTTTGCCATTAAAGCCACTTGAGAGAGAGAGAATATCTATGAGATTCAAAGTTGCCTTTTAGTTCTTATGTACCACATTGTACTAGAGTCTGCACAGCTGAAGTATCATCTGTATTTGTATGGTAATGCATATGTGTGTCTGGGTAGAGTTTGTTGATAGGTCTGTGTATACCTTATGACCCTTGCTTTTCCACTGTGGAATAAGCTTCATTGACAAAGCAATATAAATAATGGGGTTTATGTAGAGTCTCCTCCCAGCCCCTTCCCTAATCGACACTTTATGAACAAATATCCCCTTTTAGTACCCTGAGCCAGTAACCTCACCCCTTGCTTTACCAAAAGAGCAAAAAATCACCTAATGCAAACCTTCACAACTATGTATCTCTGAGCTTGAAATCTTTCCATGTCACTCTCCCTCTCTTCTTTTTTTTTTTCTTATGTGAGGATGATCGGCCCTGAGCTAACATCTATTGCCAATCTTCCTCTTTTTGCTGAGGCAGATTAGCCCTGAGCTAACATCTGTGCCCATCCTCCTCTATTTTCTATATGGGATGCAGCCATAGCATGGCTTGATGAGTGGTGCTGAGATCTGCGCCAGGGATCAAAACCTGCGAACCCCAGGCTGCCGAAGGGGAGCGCAGGAACTTAACTGCTAAGCCACCGGGCCAGCCCCTCCGTCTCTTCTCTTAATCCTGTTCCAGGAAACACTTGCTAGGGCTCCTTCCATAAAGGAGGTATCCCTTATCCCACCCCCTTTTCAACTTGCTGCAACCATTATTCCATCTCTCCCTCTTTATATTTCTTTTCTTCCCACAAACCTGTCAAAGTTTCATCTAGCCTCACAACATGACAGAGTGGTCAAGGGATTCTGAAGTCAGACCACTTGGGTTCAAATTAATACTTATTAACTGTGTGAAGTAGGGCAAGCTTCTAATCTCTCTGTGCCTCTGTCTGCCTATTTGTGCTTCCCAATCTATGAGAAAGACATAAAAGGGTATCTCTCTCATAAATCTTAAATTGTGATAGAGATTAAATGCATTAATATATATCAGCACTTAGAACACTGCCTGGCACATGAGTGTTCAAAAAAATGTTGACTGGTAGTGAATATGGTCTAAGTATTGTTATCCTGTCACTGTTCTCCTCATCTTTCCATTGTTTTCCTTATCGTCCCACCCAGACTTCTCTCAGCAGTCCCCCATCTGGCTTCCAACTCCTCATGTGCTAAGGAGGCTTCTTGGAATGGATTGCCTGATGACCTCATCCCGTAGCCTCTCCTCCAGCTTCACTCTCACTCTATTGAAAAGTTGATGCTGTGGAATTTCCAAAGCACTGTGCTTCTTAAAATGCAGCGTACCTTCCCTGATGCAGTGCTATCTTGGCTCTTCGCTCTCCTCTTGTTTTTTTTTTTTTTTT